CAAATTGGACGCAAGTCTTTACAAATGATATCAGAATGTTTATCAATTGAGCATGAGCTCAGTGTTAAATCATGGAGAGCCACCTCGAAAATCTCTAAGAAGCTAAGTGCTATACAGTGAGAACAACCTTTAGAATCCCAACATCTATGAGATCTAGTTTTGTGATTTTGTATGTGTTTTGTGTTAAGCATGACGAAGACATCAAGTTTTAACGATAGGAGTTTATGACATGCCAATCCTATATCATAAGATTATGAGGATTTACCATGCTACATGTGTGAAAATCAAACCCATACTAGTGATGCATTTTTTGTGGGACAAAGTCATAAGACTTTCGAGTTAAAGCGAATAATATTTCATAAGTTAAGTGTAGGTATCTACAAAACTAATTATGTAACAACACTTTTAGAACAATCTACCCTTACTCACAACTGACAAAGCAATTGAAAGCATGAAAATCAAGAACTTGAAATTAAAATAACATGTAAGTTAAAGAATATAGAAATTAAAGTACTTGAAAGATAAACTGTAAGTAAAATTAAAGGACAACTAAAATAAAATTGTAAGGGAATGCAAATTGCAAGTAAAAAAAAGAACTTGAAATTAAAATGGCAAGAAATTAAAGGTGCATAAAATTAAACAACAAGTAATTTAAAATTGCATAAATTTAAATATCAAGAAATTAAATTGTTGGAAATTTAAAATGCAAACCATTTAAATTGCATGAAAAGAAAGTAGCAAAAAACAAAAAATGAGAACAGCATAATATGAACATGAAAATAAATCAAACAAACATATAAAACGATAGATTCAAGTAGAAAGGAGCCCTAGGTGATTTCTCATCATAATAGCAACTTTCTACTATCCTTTTCTTACCCAAATAACCATTAAAATCAAAGAAACAACAAGCTAAACCAAACATCAAAATTTCGAAACATAATTTGGACAACATCCAATTAAAATTTGATTTCCCGTCTCATTTGATGGTATTTGATTTCCAAAGTTTTTATGGAACTAACTAATATATGAACATGCACATAAATTTTCAAAAGCACTAGACATTATTGAGTATTAACTAACCAAAATCGTAGCAAAATAGAATTTGGAATTCCAGCTCTGCAAACTGAACAGCTCCTACTCAATTTTAGATCTAGTTCAAAATACATGAAATTTTGCTCTCAAATTTTATAGAAAATTAGCTAACTCATAGATGAACAAGTAGTAAAAAGTATGAAGCAAATTGAAACCGAATTGGACTTGAAATGTAACAAAAACCGAAGCAAAACTGAATCTGAAAACATAACAACATCATGGAAACAACTTTGATAAAAATTAAATTAGCGAGCTCAAAAGGAAGTATTTGATCAAGAGAAAGCAATGTAAGTCAAGCTAACAAGTAGAGGAACAACATATAAAAAGCTCATAATTAGATGAAATTGAAATCAACTTGAAAATTAATGAAACAGTAGCTAACATCAAACCTAGGAACTCAAAAACAGTGTTGAATACAAACTGAAATTACGAGCTTAAATGGAAAATGTTTGCTTACAGGAGTTAAAATAAATCTAAATAACAAGTAAAGAAATGTAAATGAAATATAATATAAATTTAAAATAAAAAGAAAAACAAAGAACAAAGGCTGAACAACCAATAACCTAGTAGCTATGAAGCTGCCAGCCCTTGGAGTTGCAACAAAAAGAAAAAAAAAATGAAAAGACAGCTACAGGCTATCCTCTTCGGCAGCAAAATGCTTCTGTTAATATGCCATTCCTAGGTTTTTAGATGGCTAATTAAATTGCAAGAAATCAACCACCTCAGTAGCTACTTGAGATGCCATATTCTAGTTGAAGGAGTGCAATAGCTGGCAGTTTTGCCCTCGTGTATCAACGGTTTCTTTTGCTTTATAAGGAATACGAGCTGCATTTGATGGGGATCCAAGGGCTCTCAAATCAATTAGTAGGAAGACAAAGTAAAACCAGCTAAGCAACTTAATTTGCAGCATCAATTTGAAGAGAATTCCAGATTCATCAAGTCAGCAGCAAACCGTCACTCCACACAGTTGGACTTTTGTCATTTTGTGCAACAAATTCAGCTCTTTCCTTGTCTTGTTTGGCTTGGCAAGCTAGGTGCATGGCTTGAAATAGCTTTGTAAGCTCCGTAGCTCCTTGGAGACTTGAAAAACAACTCACAAAGTCCAGCAACTTAAAGACAGCAATTCCAAAATTATAAGAAGCTAACTTCTTCCTTTCTTTATATGGCTCTCCGCTAAGTATCCTTTCTATTTGTGCCGAGCTGTCCGCGAGGGGTAAAACTCTGAAAGTATAAAAGAGGGAGATTGGTCAATGATAAAGGCTAAGTGTAACGCCTTTAATCTCATATAGAAAGAATGTGTGGATATGATATGATATATATAAAGATATCTAAAATTTAAACTTGTAAAATATTTTTTGTGAGATAAAACTGTGAGATATTTTGATTAAAGCGAATAATACCTCGTAAGTTGGATACATGTCTTCACAAATAGTATCAAAGCAGTCACCAATCGATGAAAACTAAGTGTTACATGGTGGGGCCATGAGAGTCACTAATTTTACATCGTTGAATGGACCCATGCGAAAACAATTAGATGATGACAAAATTATCAAAGATTGGGATTCCTTATTTCTGTTCAAGAGCGTATGAATAGTTCCGTGATTTTGGCTAAATGATTGTTGAATCCTTGCGTTGTAATAAATGGAATAAAACGGATTTTTATTTTTATTGGTACGATCTGACCTATTATCCGAAATCCATCCTGAACCTGACGGATCATTTCTTTTTCTGATATAAAAAATATGAGATTTCACTAAGTCGATTCTTAGTAAATCTCGAATCAGACCATTTGTCCTTACTTCAACAAATGAAGCACAGACCTCTTCGGCGGAAGAACTTTTGTTGTCTTGATCCCAATTCAACACTAAACAAGTCCGAACTAGTTGAATACTTGTGTCAGAAATTCTCCGAGTCGGTGGAACCATGAGAGTCACTAAATGTGAATTACTAAATATTACATAATGGGGCCATGAGATCACTAAGTGCTACATGGTAAAGAGTCACTTCTAGAATCCTCATGTTTGGTGTGATTTTAGTCTTGTGCACCCAATTTGTAAGGTATTATCCACTTTGACCCGAAAGTTTCATGATTTTATCTTACAAAAGGTATCTCACAAGTTTAAGTTTAAATTTCTACATATATATATATATCATATAATGTCCACATATTCTTTCAATATGGGATTGGAAGCATTACACTAAGAGTCTTTTTGACATTTGTGCTCCAACACTTAAGTCAACGCTAAATCAAGGATTGGGAAGGAAAATAAGCTAAATGGTATTCTTAGAAGCTAAAGGCTTTAGTTAGTTTAAAAGTATCTAGAAGGGGTTATTGATACCTGTGTGATGGGAGACCTTGGGCCTCGACGGCTTGAGCTTGATGTAGGAGGACTAAGGCTGATGTCATTAGCTCAAGCTAAGTTGGAAGTTGACAGTCCACTCGGGGAATGACAAGTCAGTATCTTCATATACTAGCAAGTGGGCTATTGAGGTGGTTGAGCTGATGTAGAGCTTGGGATCTCAAGTTAATCTGACACGTCAGCTCGATCAAAATAATCAAAATACCTTCGCTTGACAACTGACTTATATTTTAAAGGAAAAAATTTATTTTATCTTTTGGACACTAAAATGCACCTAACATTTTCCTTCAAAAATCATGCCCACTAATTAATTCCTTCATGAAGCTCACTTCAACATATAAAAATTAACTCTTTTACTCCTCATGAAGCTCAACTCCATGTTTACAACCGTAAAATTCATCTTCTAACAAAAGCCATCAAAGAAAAGCAACTTGTTCCAAAAGGAAAACAATCGATTACTTTAAAAATCAATCAACTCCTTCGTGTTTGTTCTGCTAAGATGTGTTTCAATTGAAGTCTAAATCTACCATTTTAATTCATTTTCTTATTTGACTAATCACCTACACAAAAGAAAAATATACAAATTAAGAAGATATTTGAGTAAAATTCTTAAAGACTAAATAAAATTAGACAATAAAACATTATAATAACTCTATAAAATGAAAAGTTATCATTAAATTTAAAGACTGAATCAAAAGTAACCAACCCTTTTTGTTGTAAAAGATTATTTTCAAAAGATAAAATTTCCATATTTATATAAACATGATGTGTACCACATAACCATTTAAAAGTTTATAAGGATTTACTTATGAAAAAGTAAAATTTTTTAGTAAAAATAATGAATAACTATATCTTAGATAAACACAATTAATATGTAACTTACAGCAAAATAGAGGTTAATACCATACAAATACAATTAAGGGCATTTTTAATATAAAAGTGAATGTAATTTATTAGTAAAGCGTTAAAATTTTAATTTTAATGATTATAAATTAATTATTGACATTTTTAAATGTAAAAAGTAAAGGTTAATAATCTTACACATTAATTATATTTTGAGATTTTATCTTAAATTAATTTTGTTTTTAAATTATCTTAAAGGCACACATCCAGATTCAATTATACATAATTTTTCATAGAAAACATAATAAATAAAGTATAACATGGTCAAGAATACTAAAAATATTTTGTAACATACTTTAAAAAGGCAAAACGACAGTCCACATTGACAACCACAAGACTTGGAATAGAGACCAGACCAAGGACATTCAACTCCTACTTCCTAGACTTTCTAGTTATGCCTGACTCTTTTTTACAAAGTAACAGAATTACAGTTCCTTTTTCTTTTTTGGGATTTCATATTTCTATTTTTCCCTCAACCAACAGTAGAACACCCGGATTCTAAAGAGACATGATCATGTCAAGGAATTCTTTGTTTTTTTTTACAGTAAAGAGGGTGGTGACTGGAGAAAGTGCCAGACGCACTAGCAGACATATGGGTCCCATCATCATCACTCCCTCCACCATCTTCCCCAGCCTGCCTTCCCTCCTTTTGCCCTGTCCTATACTTCAGTCTTTCTCTCTATCTCCCAAAAAAAAAAAAGCCTTGTTTTTTCCTCTCAAAACTACTACTTATTTCTTCACCTGTGCCAAGACTTGAACTTTCTTAATTTCTTGCTTGTTTGTGATGGAAGGTGGCTTAGTTTTACTTGGTGGTGGTGGTTCTTCTGGGGTTTCTACAGATGAGTCAGCAGTGTCTAAAGTGGAGGTTGTTTCTGAGGCAAGTTCATTTCCAGCTGAGAGTGAGCTGGAACTAGGCCTGGGGCTGAGTCTTGGTAGAAGCAGTGTTGGTACTACGGGGAGGACCAAGGCTGGTACTTCTTCATGGGGTGAGTGTGGTAGAATCTTGACTGCAAAGGATTTCTCTTCAGTGGTTTCTCATAGAACTAATAATGGTGGTCCTTCTTCTGTCGCTGTTTCTGAGACCAAGAGAGCTGCTGAGTCCATATCCCATGAAGGTGGATCTCCTACTGATGTCAGGTTTGTTTCTTTGAGACTTGTTTTTCATTTCTTTTATCATTATCATTGCTCATATTTCTCTGATTCTTTTTATTTTTTGGAAAATATTTCCCCTTTAATTAGTTAGATTATTAGTTGTTCCATATTGTTGTTTTGGAAGATGCAGTCAAGTTGTGGGATGGCCTCCCATAAGGGCTTATAGGATGAACAGCTTGGTTAACCAGGCAAAGGCTCCAAGAGTTGAAGAGGACAAGGAAATTGGTGAAAAAGATAAACCCAAAGATGCTTTGAAAAAGAAACTTTATGATAGTTCTGCTGTTAATGACAAAGGGCATCTTGGTTTCGTAAAGGTGAATATGGATGGAATTCCAATAGGAAGGAAGGTGGATTTGAATGCTCATTCTTGCTATGAGAGTTTGGCCCTAGCACTCGAAGATATGTTTCTCAGATCTGCCAACTCAGTTGGTAAGCTCCCTTCTGTGTTCTAGGTTTAAGAATTTTGACATATGATCACGTAAAGGATACCCTTTTTGTAGGTGCAGGGATGGAACAAGTAACAAAGCCCTCTAAGCTTTTGGATGGATCATCCGAACTTGTTCTGACTTATGAAGACAAAGAGGGAGACTGGATGCTTGTAGGAGATGTCCCATGGAGGTATGCTGCGAGCTTTTGCTAATTGTAAATGTCCATGATGAGAGATAGAGAGAGAGGACAGGCGGGCAGAGGAGGTAGAAGGATGGGGACATGAAATGGGAAGTTGATGAAAACACTTGACCAAACTTTTTAATATGAAAGCAACAGCAGCCCAAATGAGAGAAAGGAAAAAGGAATTGAAAGTAGTTTGATTTGATTTCCAATTTCCATGCTTATGATGCTTATAGTATGAGTTTCGTTTCTTGTCGTATTTTAGGATGTTTCTCAGCTCAGTCAGAAGGCTACGAATCATGAGGACCTCTGAGGCTAATGGACTTGGTATGTAAAAGAGGCATAATAAACAATTTTTCATGGTTGGTTTTCGGTTTTCGGTTTTCAGTTTCTCTTTGGTTTCTGACTCCTCTCATTCTTTTGTTCCAGCACCAAGATTTCATCAAGGGAATGAAAGGCAAAGAATCAAACCCATTTAGCATCATCGCCATCTGTCTTTTAAATTCCAGAAAGAAAAAGAAAATCCCACAGTTTGAACGCAGACAAGCTAAAGGAAATTAGAGAAGTTGATGAGTTGATGCATATAGCCAAGATTGGTTTCTCACTACTTGTCACAGTCGTTCTCGAATCATTATATTGTTCTTACTGCTTTTTTGGTTTTGTTAGGTCATATTCAATTTAGATTTCTCTCTTATATAGTGCCATCATACAGTCACACAACCTTGACTGGAATGCTGTTTTATCATACTGTAAATATAGGAGTACTCGAAATCTAGAGTGTTTTGAGTTTTGCTGCAATCAAGCAGCTCAGTTTTACTTTTGTGATAGAAGACATGTTTGTGTGATTTTGATGTTAAAGTGCTTTTATTCTGTTGGTTGGCCAGTTTTCTTTATGTGTCATACTTTAATCTGAAGTTCTGAGTGTTTATCTGATTAATTGGATCTTTTGAGTCTAAATCAAGCTGCCATGATCATTCTAAGCTTCCATACCAGAAGCTGCTATTTCATGGAGGAATCAGGCACGCCTTCCCTCTGAAATAAATATCAAGCATGTTAAACAGTACCATTAACATTACCTAAGAACGACAAAAACTTTTAGTAGCTGATAATATGCTTAATTGAATCTGTATCTATCTACTGACAATCTAAGCAAGTCATCATATTCAATACACACTAAATTTTAGTTTTTCTTCTGTTTAAATTGTCGTTTTCATTCCGGTCTATATTTCGGGGTTTAGGGGTTAGGGTCGTATTAAGGGGAAGAAAATGAAATGTAGAAGCAACATCTCATACCAGAGATAAAAAGGGTAGAACCGGAGAAAGCAGGTTATAAAACAAGCAATTATGGAAGAAGCATAACAACAAAACTTGGTGGTGGATATATGATAATGCTTTGGCTTTGTCTTTAGAAGCATCATTATCTACAGTTAGGTGCTGCAGTTACAACCAATAACAATGAATTTGTTTTCTAAATCTTGCAAATTATCATGTGGCTATTTTAAAATGTGATATCAGAGTGTTAACATATTTTACAATTTGAGCTAAGATTAAAGAGGATTTATTTAAAAATAAGATGGATCTATCTTTGGTTCAAATTCACTAAATAAATACAAAAATAAGATAAACCGAAATAGAAAAATTATGTTCACACTAGCTAAAAAAAAGAGCATGAATATGGATAGAATTATAGTCAAATTTATTATTATGTAATTTGTAGGAGTAAATGGGTTCACATGCAAATCCGTTGATTTTAGGCACGATTCTAGCAATTCAATTTGAAAGTTTTCATGCTTGGAGGGATATTCCTAACCTATATATTTTCTATTATTCTTTGGTAAAAAGTAGAATAGAGTTTTCTTTATCCTTAAACAATCTTTTAGATTGTTCTTCAAGTTCTGTATCTTTTAGGTGAATTTTTTACAATAGTGAATTTCTATTATTCTGTATCCTCAATTAGAATTCTTAAGATGGTGTTTTTGTATCCCTTAGTTTCTAGTATTGGGGGTAAACTTTTATCGCTTTTAATCCAATAATCATTTTTGTCATTATTCAAATTCTTGTGAGTTATTTTTTTTGTGAGTTTTTCTATTTGCAGTTAATCTCCACATTCCAAACATTAATTCCCGACATCAATTGGTATCAAAGCTATGGTAGGTCATTGTCGTCAAGCACCAGCAAAAGAGGTTGATGTTGTTGCAACTACTAATGTTAACCTAATGGATGACCTCATAGAGGAGATGTGACAACAGATTCTTTAACAACAACATTAGCTACATATACAAGAGGAGAAAAATTGAGATATGGAGGCAACGAAGGAGAAACGAAGAAAATGAAAGAGAAACCAATCCATATAATGAAAACAACAACGATAGCACCCTATCTCATCCACGGTAAGTTAGAGACTATCTACGCAAAAACTAACTTCAACCTAACATATTCAATCTAAAGATAGAGATTCCTATGTTCGAGGGAAAAATGCAACTTGAAGAATTTTTAGATTGGCTACATATGTTGGAATGCGTATTTAAATACCATGATGCCCTTGAACATCACAAGGTGAAGCTAGTGGCCATCAAACTTAGAAAGCATGCATCTTTTAGTGGGAAAATTTGAAAAAACAAAAGGAAAAAGAATGCAAAAGAAAAATTGTAACTTGGAAAAAGATGAAAAGAAAGTTGAAGAGAAAGTATCTTTCAGATAACTTTCGACAAGATGTCTTCTTTAAGCTTCATAACTTGAAACAAAGAGATCTTTTAGTGGAGGAGTATATGACTGAGTTTGACCACTTCATGTTAAAATATGAATTGGTGGAAATAGGGAGTAAACTATTATCCGATATCTTAGAGGATTGAAGATTGAGATAGCTAATATGGTGTAGCTACAACCTTATTGGACTTTCAATGATGTATGCAAGCTTGCCCTTAAGGTAAAAAAATAACCAAAAGAGGCCCGTGGTAGCAACTTAAGATTTGAGTCCCGAGAAGGCTATATTATAAAGTGGTTCATCCAAGACTATTTTTCTTTTAAGCTTATTCTAAAACAGCCCCAAAAGAAAGATGAAACCTCAACAAGCAAGCCTTAGTCTAGTGCACAAACCATAAGGTATTTTAAATGTCGAAGGTTTGTACACATGGCCTTAGAATGCCCAAACAGAAAGATATGGCTCTAGTAGAGAAAGACTTGAAGAAAAATGAAAAAGAGTTGGCTGAAAAGGATCAAAACCTTGAAGAGGAGGAAAAGGTAACCTATGGCGATTGTGGAGCATCCTTAGTCATACAATGCAGCTTGAATATTGCACCTGCTAAGGAAGAAGATTGGTTGCGTAAAAACGTGTTTCACACTCAGTGTACTGCCTATGAGAAGGTATGTGATGTTATAATTGATAGTGAAAGTTTTGAAAATATTGTTTCTACCTTTATGGTGTAAAAATTAGGCCTTAAGATAGTGGATCATCCTTAACCATATAAGTTGTCTTGGCTACAAAAAAAGAATGAAATCAAGGTTAGCAAAAGGTGCTTGGTTCCTTTTTTCATAAGAAAGTAATACAAAGATGAAGTGTGGTATGATGTAACTTCAATGGATGCTTACCATTTACTGCTCGAAAGACCTTGGCATTATAATAGGAGGGTTTTTTATGATAGTTATCGTAATACTTACACATTTGTGAAAGATGGATGCAAAATCATCCTAGGCCCTACCAAGCCCATGGTGATGTCAAAACCAACTAAAAGGGAAAGAAACAACTTATTTACCAAGGCCAATTATAGAAAGAAATTAAGATGTATGGTACTATGTATACATTGGTGTTGATTGAAGAGAATAAAAATAATGAGGAGCCCCTTACAGTGATACAACCATTATTGACAGAATTTCAAGATGTTGTTCAAGAGAAGTTACTAGCTAGTCTACCACCAATGAAGGACATTCAACACTGCATGAACTTTTCCCAAGACTTGTTCTACCCAATAAGATAGAAATTTTCTTGACGAGTTATGTAGAAAAGAAACTAAAACAATGGAAGCTTGTTTTACTACAAGTGGAGTTTGACTACAGCCATTCATCAAGTCAAACCATTTGTTGCAGCTCTTTTGAAATTGTTCTTAGTAAGAATGCAATCTATCATTTGGATTTAATTCAACTTTATACTAACTAGTATTTTGATGAAGATGTAGAAAAAAGAGCCAAGAGAATCAAAATATTTTATGAATAGGTTCAAAATAGAATTTTGCAGAAAAATAAAAAATCTAAAAGGGCAATAATCATGCATCGAAAACATATGAAGTTCAAAAAACATGATTTAGTGTGGGATTACTTGCACAAAGAAAGATTTTCATAAGGGAAAGTTTGACAAATTATAACCTAAGAAAGATGGTCCATTTAAAATTCTTCAATGCATGGAGAAGAATGCCTATAAGATAGAGTTTTTCGATATTTATGGAGTATCTTTCGCCTTCAATGTTGCTGATTTGTCACCCTATCATGGTGAGAATACCAGTTCAGACTTGAGGACAAGTCTTTTCCAACCATAGGATATTGACACTGGAGTGTTTGCACATCATACAACTTGGGCTGAGACTATGAAAAATTTATCCAAAAATAAGATGGACCTATCCTTGGTCCAAATTCACTAATAAATGCAAAAATAAGGTGGGCTGGAATAGGAAGATTGTATTCACACTAACTAAAAAAGAAGAGCATGAATATAGATGGGATCGTGATCATATTCATTATCATATAATCTGTAGGAGTAGATAGGCAGATTATGTTCATATGCAAATCTCATGATTTGAGGCACGATTTTAGCAATACAATCTGAAAGTTCCTATACTTGGAGGGATATTCCTAGCTTATATATTTTTTATTATTCTTTGGTAGAAGGTATAATAGAGTTTTCTTTATTCTTAAGCAATATTTTAGATTGTTCTTCAAGTTCTGTATCTTTTAGATGAATTTTCTAGATAGTAAACTTCTATTGTTCTGTATCTTCGATTAGAATTCTTAAGATAGTGTTTCTGTATCCCTTAGTTTTTAGTATTGATGGTGAACTTTTATCCCTTTTAGTCTAATAATCATATTCTCCCATTATTTAAATTCTTATGAGTTATCTTCTTTATGAGTTTTTCTGTTTGCAATTAATCTCCATATCTCAAACATCAATTTTCGACATCAAAATGTAACCACTTCATAGCCATAATTTGGTATGATCTCTACTCAATGATGAAGCATGACCATACGATCTCCAAACCAGTTTCATTTGGACAAATATAATGAAATAAAATGTTAAGACTGTCTGATCATTCTAGTGTTGAAAGAAAGTTCATTTTCATGTCGTTTCTTTCTGGTGCAAGTGTAACCTCATTATCTTGATAAGAACAGGCCAAATGTGATTTATGAGCTTCAATAACATTGGATAATCAGAGCTTGGAGCCATGTTTTGAGGGTCTAATCAGTGATTTGAAGCCATACTACCTTCAGGGTGAGATCAAACATACTTATCCACAATGCTGGAGTTACTGAAAAGAAAGATTACGTTACAATACTCAGTTACTCGGATTAAGCGATTTCTTATAGAAAAAAACCAAAAGAATTTGTGGTGGAGAAAAGAGACAAACATCAAAAGCTTTGCAATCATAGGAAAAATTATGCAAGTGGTTCAAAATATTTCATTTTACCAACCAATTTGCTACAGTTTTTAGGTCAAGTTCTTAGAATAAGGGGTTTTCTGGTGCTGCATCCAATCAAATGTACTCTGAGCTATGAGAGCTATAAGCTCATAAAAATGGGACATACTTTGGTGCTTAAGATTATGCAATCATTTTGATTCTGACTTTGCAATTACTAGCAATCGATTCTTGATGGTGGTGTCCCATTTGCAATAATTACTTTCTTTTATTTGATTGCGATACAACTGTTCTCTACTATGGCTCTCATCTTAGCTCTCAGCAGCTTTTCTGGTTTCTCTAGCTTGCAAAAGTAAAGCAAAAACAACAAAACCTCTTGTATTTATGAAAATCTTTCACCTTCAAGAAGGCTTCTTTTCCATTGCCTTTTCAACCTTTTTCTTCTCAACTTATCAATGAAGGTTAAAATCTAAGACCCACCATCCAAATCATATTTTCTCTTTTTCGTCCCAGTGCTTGTTTTTGTCATGTGTAGCCTCATGCAATACACAAACAATAGCATTGGAACCCCAACAGCTGGAAAGGTTTCAAGGCAATCTATATCATCACATCAACATTTTGGCATCACCTGCATTCTTAGGAAAGCTCTTGATTGCCTGCAACAGAAAAGATTAGTTTCACAATTATGTTTAATCAAGTATTGGGACATTTCAATGAGTAAAAAGTATATGTTATTCATTGTGCTGCTTGTGTCGTACGGTTCATATATATTTTTATATTTAGGGCCGTATATGGTGGACAATTATAATTTTGTACGACTGGGGGACAAATGACAATCCCATTACCCCAGACATGAGCCCCTCAAATGGATTGCGGTTCCAGCATATGGAGGGACCCTTGACGTCCATCGATTTATTTCTCCACTTTGTTAGATTGAGGTTTCTGCATTACTACACGGCATATGAAATATGTGGTGGTGGATCAAGACAAGGAATGGCCCCATGATTTGGTATTGAAAATTCCATGATCAGGTTAAATGTAAAACTTCTGCAGTGAATGATTCATATTACATGTCGCTTTGCTTGTTTTTGAACTAATAAAGCTAAAGAAATATAATAAAAACAGTAGTACAGTATTAACACAACACCTCAGCTTCACCTCTCCATCTCTCTTTGAACTAATAATAGTATTTGTTTAGGTTAATTATACATCAAAGTAGTAGAAATTACTTGCAAAATGCCATGTGGACATGTTTCTAATACAAAAACTCCCTTGGATCAGTGACATAACCAGCCAAAGCTGATGCAGCTGCTGTGTATGGGGAAGCAAGGTATATCTGCCCTTCCTTATGTCCCATCCGACCTGGGAAGTTTCTATTTGTGGTTGAGACACAAACCTGCAAGGTTGATCCCATTAAAGAAGTAATTTACAAGCTAGAAGGCACCAATGGGATGGATTACATGAGAACTACACATTGGCCACTTGACTCTAATTGGTTAGGGTGACTTGATATATTTATACCATGTCCCTGACACCGTTTCCCTGATATATTTTTGAAGGTTTCCTGGTAGGAAGAAGACAGCCTACCTGAGCCTCATTCATGCGAGCGTATGTATCTTTAGGGCCACCCATACAAGCAGCACAACTGGGGCTTGCAGGTGTATCACAGCCAGCTTCTTTGAATATCTGAGAGCAAGTCTTGCCACCAGATCCTGGTACAGTGAGAGTATATATGTCCAACCAAACCTGCCAATTTACCATGTTAATAAGGAACATTTTAATTAATCGTAATAGCAAGTTGAATGATGTTTCTTTTAACATTAATAATACAACTTCATACACCTTTTGGGTAGCAGGGACAAGAAATGTGGGGACTTTCACCTTTTTGCCCTGCAGTTTAAGCCAAATTAGAAGTCACAGAAGATTAGAGTTCTGAAGAAAATAACAATCAGACAACAACCAAAACATGAGATCTTCCACAGAAGATTATTGTTACTGTCTCCAAGCTGTTCATTCAAAACAGTTACCAACTTGTATCCAAAAATGTGAAAATGTACTAGCGCATCTACAGCAGAAGACACTGTTTTAAGCTATAATGTTGCATCTATCTCTCTAAAATTAGAAAAAAAAAAAAAGGATGAGAAATGGTAATATATGACTCTTACTGAAGCTAAGAAGACTTTGGCAGCAGCAAGGAAATCTTCTGTTTTTCCACCAGTACAAGATCCAATATAGACTCTGTCGATTTTAATATCTTTGCATTCTCTTGCCAATGCACGATTATCAGGTGAATGTGGCTGCAAAATGCATTTAACAAATTACTCCATTTTACGGACAAACATACACAACTTAATGGAGATACCCACCTTAGCCACCAAAGGCTCCAATTTTGAGATATCAAATCTGAACTCTGAAAGAAAACTGAAAGCCAGAAAGTATGAATAAGCACTTATTTGAATGCAGCTCAAAGCAGGAAATGAAAGGACTATCGATGCCAATTGCAGACCAATTGTTAGGCTAGGAATTCTTTTCTCCCTACACCAAAGCTAACATTTAATGTGTTTACTTAAATTAATTGCCGTAACGGTTTTGGGTCTGCAAGATAAATTTAGAAACGAAATAAAAAAAAACGGAATCATCATCAATTTTTTTTGATTAGGTGCGATTGATTACCTACTAAAACATATCCTTTTAATAAAGTTTTAAAATTAATTAAAAAGATAATTTTACGGTATACGAAATAGTCTGGGTTCGGGAGTCGGTTACGCGTGGGAAAAGATTAGCACCCCCGTAGCGCCATTAAAAACAGTACCAATTAACAACGTGTTATCCTTTGATTTTGATAAAAATAGTCCAATTTTCGGTGTTCGAAAAATAATTTCATTGATTTTTTATTTATTAGAAAAAAAATTTTATTCTTGAGAAAAATAAATTAAAACATTTTTATTGAAATAATTCTTAAAATGTTTCAGTACGTTGGTAACATTAGAAGAACTTTTTCTCACATAGATATTTCTTAGGCATCGCTTTTCGAAATATCTAAGAATCTCATCATCGGAGGCTCGAATTTACTTTTCGTAAAAAAAATATCATGCATGCAATGCAAAATATTACCATGTTTATGCACACATTTTATTCTACTTTGTTAGAAATTTTATTAATTATTTTATTAATATTTATTTTTAATTGAAATTTTGAAGAAAAAGAAATTTAATTATATTGAATACTTTTAGAATCTCATCATCGGATAAAATTTCTTTTCTTTTCATTTTTATTACTTATATTTTTAAATATTAATCAATTTTTATTTATTACTTAAAAAATTTTTTTTATTGTATTGAAAATTTTTTTATAAATACTCCAATACACTAGTAGTATTTTTAAAAAAATCTTCTCACCTAGAGATTTCGTGTTCATCACTACTTGAAATACCTTTGAATCTCATCGTCGGATAAAAATTTCCTTTTCTTACATTTTTTTATTAGTCTTTATTATTTTAAAAGATTTATTTTAAAGTTAATAAAATTATAAAAAAACTTTTATCATATATTTTACTATTTATTTTAATATTATAAAATAATAAAAATTTATTTTGGTAAATTTAAACATTTTTTACATGCATAAATATTAAGAATAATAATTAAAATAACAAAAATAATATTAAAAAAATCTAAAAATTTTTTTTTTACCTGAATCGGACTGGTCAACGGTCTGGTCAACGTGCGGTTCGGTTCAGCGGTTCAGGTGCGGTTTAGCTCGGTTTAGGTGTGATCTGGTTGGTTCAGCGGTTCGATCTCGATTCAGTTCGGGTTCAACAGTTCGATTTCGGTTCAGTCAGATCGATTAGATGTTGATAGAGAAGCGGGTTGCGTGTCAGGTGTCCAGACCCCGAGTCGGGTCACGGGTTGACGTGCGGATCCTAGGTGCTTAAAATGAAGTCGTTTTGGCTATTGACAGCTTATATAAAAGCCCAAAATTTTTTTTTCGATCATTTCCTTCTTTCCTAAAAAAAAAACTTTTTTTTTCTCTTTTTTTTTTCATTCGACCTGGGGCCGGTGGCTGTCTGTTGTGACGGCTATCGTGGTCTTACTAGCGGCGAGCTCCTGCCGCCGTCGTCGATGCTGAAAAATTTTAAAAAACACCCATAAACTCCTTTCGACCTCATGAACACAGATCTGACCTCCTTTTCATCAAAAAGAGTCCACACTTCCTTAGATATGCTTTCAAAGTTTTGGTGAAACTATATATTTTTTTGTATTCTGACTCTTTTTTTTCGTCTTTGTGCAAAAAGCTCGACGTTGGGTTCCTCAAACGGGAGGACTATTGATTTTTTTTTTTTTTTTGGGCAGAATCTCTTTCATTTTTTTTGTAACTTTTCTTTCCATGTTTTTGATTGACCAAGAGCTCTATTTATGAAGCTCCGGTAATGCCCCGTGCCTAAGGGAATGGCATAGGGCTAAGCATAGGGGTGCAAGCACGACCCTCATGCCTCTTTTTTTTTTGGTAACATTTGACAGTGGTAGGGTTAAGTGATCAGAGGGGTGGGGTAAGGCATGGTGAGGGATGGGTGTAGGGCATGCCGGCACCACTGCCATCCTCGATTTTTTTTTGTTTTATTTTTATTTTTTTTATTTTTGTATTTTTTTTGTATTTTGTATTATTTTTGGTATTTTTTTGTATTTCATATTTTGTATTTTTTTGTATGGACAAATTGGTGTCCACAGCTGCCCCTCCTTGCACATTGCTGATAATCAGTAATAGGCCAAAGACAACAATTTTATCTGAAATCCAAATGGATTTTTTTTCTCTTTTTTTTGAACATAGACTACTCAAAAAGTTTTTTTTTTAAATTGAAAATGCTTTTGTCACTTAAGGTTCAACAACTTTTGAAAATTTAAAATCTGAAAAAGATTCCTCTTAGCAGAGGCTCAACGACTTTAAAAATCATATTGAAAAGCTCCTCTCAGTAGAGGCTCAACAACTTTAAAAATCATCTTGAAAAGGGTTCCTCCTAGCAGAGGCTCAATAACTTTAAAATCTCATCTTGAAAATGGCTCCTCTCAGTAGAGGCTCAACGATTTTAAAAATTCTCTTCTTGAAAAAGGCTCATCTCAGCAGAGGCTCAACGACTTTAAAAATCATCTTAAAAAGTTCCTCTCAGCAGAGGCTCAATGACTTTAAAAATTTTTATTTTGAAAAAGGCTTATCTCAACAGAGGCTCAACAACTTTAAAATCTCATCTTGAAAAAGGCTTTCTAAGCAGAGGCTCAACGACTTTAAAATCCATCTTGAAAAGCTCATCTCAGCAGAAGTTCAATGACTTTAAAAATCTCATCTTGAAAAGCTCATCTCAGCAGAAGTTCAATGACTTTAAAAATCTCATCTTGAAAAAGCTCTTCTCAACAGATACTCAACAACTTTAAAAATTTTATCTTGAAAAAACTCTTCTCAGTAGAGCCTCAACAACTTTAAAAATCTTATCTTGGAAAAGTTTCTCTCAGCAGAGGTTCAACAACTTTAAAATCTCATATGAAAAGCTCCTCTCGGCAGAGGCTCAATAATTTTAAAAATCATCTTGAAAAAGCTCCTTTCAATAGAGGCTCAACAATTTTAAAAATCTCATCTTGGAAAAGCTCCTTTCAACAGAGGCTCAACAACTTTAAAATCCATCTTGAAAAGCTCCTTTCAACAGAGGCTCAACAATTTTAAAAATCTCATCTTAGAAAAGCTCCTCTCAGCAGAGGCTCAACAACTTTAAAATTCATCTTGAAATCTCCTCTCAGTAGAGGCTCAATAACTTTAAAATCAATCTTGAAAAGCTCATCTCAACAGAGGTTCAACAACTTTTAAAAATTTTATTTTGGAAAAAGGTCCTCTCAGCAGAGTCTCAACAACTTTAAAAATCTCATATGTTCTTCAAATTGAGTTCTTATCTTTGAGCAAGTAAATTTCTCTCTTTTGAAATCTTTTGTTTGATTAAAAAATGGGAAGTCTCCGTTCTCATTATTCATGGATGTATGTACTGAGTGCTCTAAATGCAATACATGTAATGCAATCAAAATTATTCATTGTGGTAAAAAGGTTCTCGAAATCTCTCATTTTTTGTTTCTTTTATCAGAATTCTTAATAATTGCCATATGATCAACCTATTCTCAACATCTGACCATTGAATTCTTCCCACCATACTTTTCTTCAAAAGTCTACAACATCAATGTCTTGTCATGCTTTTTTCCTCTTTTTTCATTTGCCTTTGTCAACTTTTCAAAAAGTAATGCTAAGATCTTTCATGTTTGTTTTTCTTTTCATTATTTTAAATCCAAGACCAACAAAATGCAATCACATATTTCTTCTATTTGTATGGCAGACAAAAATGAGAATAAAGGAATAGGTGTTATTTTAAAAAAAAAGATAGCATATTTTATTAGACTGGTAATAAGTGCATGGCAAAGTATTTGAGTTGAAACAAATGTGCCCAAATAATGATCATAAGATAATCATGAACAAAATATTCCAGATTCTTTTTTTAAAACTAAATTAGATGACTTCTTTTATCCTTCAGAGTTCATCAAACTACATTTGCCCTTGTATTGTGGAATGATGTTTCTTCTTCGCATCCAAGTCACCTTTTTTAGGTTTTCAACTTAGATGAGTCATTATTTTTCATTATTTACTTTTTTTTATTGTTTTTTCAAGCAAAATATTTTTTCATAGCATCTGAGTTTATCGGAGTAGGTAAATTACTTTCGTCCATATCTGCCAAAATCAATGCCCACTAGAAAATGCCTTTTTTTTACCACATACGGGCATTCCTAATTTGGTGTCCATTTTCCTTGATTATCATGTTGATTTGAAAAGATCTTTTTCAGCACTAAATCTCTTTCCCTAAAGCAACGAGGACGGATTTTCTTGTCATGTGCTCTCATTATGCTTTTTTGATATAATTGACCATGACAAAGTGCTGTAAGTTTTTTCTCTTCAATGAGGTTCAACTGCTCGTAACGATTTCGAATCCATTCTGCTTCCTCTAATTCTACCTCTATTAAGACTCTCAACGAGGGAATCTCTACTTCGATCAGTAGCACAACTTCCATTTTATATACCAAAGTGAACGGAGTGATCCCAGTAGATGTTCAGACTGATGTTCTATAAGCATGCAAAGCAAAATTTGATGGCACAAAATATCCGATGACCCATATCACCATGTATTGTCGAAAGATGACAGCACATGCTTACGATAAAAAGTTGTTAATGCACATATTTCAAGATAGTCTTACGAATTCTGCAGCTAGATGGTATGTTTAATTAGATAGAACTCGTATTCGTTCTTGGCAAGAGCTTATAAAGGCATTCCTTACATAATATCGATATGTCACGGATCTGGTTTTAGATCGTCTATCTCTACAAAGTATGAAAAAAAAGCA